CTACCCCATACTGGAAAAGGCAAGGAAGGATCTTCCCCTGGAGATTTCAGAGGAAAGATGGCTTTGATGACACCCACCTTCATTTAGCACTTCTCATCTCTTCAAAAAGGAGATTACACATTTCTGTTGTTTTAAGCCACCCAATTTATGGTAATTTGTTATGGTATCCCCAGGAAACTAATACAAGGACTCAAGCAATTCGAGACCAGAAAATGTTCTAGAACACAGACCTTTAAAATGGGATTTTGGAGTTGGAATGCCCACTTGTTGGAAGGCAAGAGGGATACCATTACTGTGTTAAGTAGGATGCTAATAACCCATGGCACACAATGATATCACAATTAAGTTTAATGTAAAGGTAAAAGAAGGAGCCCAAGTATTTGTGGTAATCAGTATGGGTAAATGATAAATTAAAAGATAATGGAGTAAGGTTGCTACTTTTGATAGGCCTAGATAACTTGTAAAAAGAAAATGATAGGCTCAAAGCAGTTAATTGCTAACTTAAGGCATGTTCTGATTGCCAGAGGATTGCTATGGTAGCATTAATATAAACTCAGGACAGACTGTGGTGAAAAATTAAGACTGGAATCCATTTACGGCCTTGTTAGAGATGTAAACAGAACTAAATGTACAGTTGCAAGCATTCTCCCAAGTCATTGTCAAAACCCAGATAGAAAATCTTGAGACCATTAGTATCTGGGATAATGACATTTAGGTGGATAAGCATTGTAATCTTGAACCCCTGGATTCTCCTGAGATTTCCTGGCTGATATAAGCAGCCTCATCCTCCTCACCAGAGAATAACAGTTTCTGCTTGCCTGGAGACTGTGTAATGATTACACTGAAATTGTAAATTTGCATGATCTCAAGGTGTAACATTATCATCTCTCACTGCTTCTAGGCCAATAGCCAGATCACGTCTTAACACAACTTGTGCACGGAAGTATAATCCCAGCTCCCATGCTAAAGGCATTTCATGACCTAGCTAATATGTATCAACAGGAATTGGAAGAATGCATATGGGATTGGATCTTGAGTGAGTTAGAGGTAGGAAATAGAGGTTGGAGTTTTGGATGAAAGAATTCATTGACAAGTTCCTGACTAAAGACCAAAGACAATAGTTTGCCCTTTCCCATCCTTCCTTGCCTTATTTCCTTTTTCCTTTATTATCATTACAAATATTATTAGATTATTTAAATACCTTGTAGTGTATTCCTTCAATGAAGTACTATTCAGCCATTTAAAGGTATGAGCTATACCTGTAAGGCACAAGAAACCCAGAAAAGCATGTTTCAGTCATCAATACATAGTAGCACATCAGATTCTTTTGATGGTACTTGTGTTCAGGCCCTAGTTTTACCCTGGTGTTACGGTGACAATTCACTTTCTCAGACATTACTATACCGCCCACCTTAGGCCCCCAGGGATTTTCTGTTGCTGCTGAGCTATTAGTGGCAGGGGAATCCATTTAGTTCTCACACACTGGTGAGAACTTAATATCACAATTAAGTTTAAGGTAAAAGTAATTACCAGATTACACACTGGTAATCTGGAATCACAGGGGAACTGAATGCCCTGTACAGAGAATGAACTTTTCACATGTGGGAGACTGAGCTAATAGATAACACTTTTCTCCCTTCATTTCAGAGATTAACTGTCCTGACATGAAACAGTTTACTCAACATCTGGGAAGATGATCCCATGAGATCACGCAGTCAGTTGCAACTGACACCCACATAGTCAGCGCAGTAATGTATCCCATCATATTTGTTCTCTTTTCTTCCCTTATTCCTATTTCTCTGGGATTTGCCTGCGAATAAGTGAGCACATCAGCTTTTTCTTTAAGCTCTGTTTTCTAGGGTACTTGACTCAAGGTAGATGTTTGTCATATAATGTTACATGAAAAAGTAAGTTATAGAATACTATGGATATTTTATGTAAAAATATAAAAGCATATACACATATTTAATTATTTGTGACACTGTAAAAAGAGGACTGGATGGATACACATCTTTGAGAACAGGTAGGAGTAAATACAAGATTGAATATTTATTTGTTCTTCTCTAGAATTTTTAAGGTCATGTATTTGCAATTTTTTAAAATACTGAAAAAAATACTGGAAAAATACTGAAAAAATACTGAAGAATACTGAAAAAACACTTTAAAATATCATAAAGTATGTTCATATTATGCTATACTTTAAATTGAACATATTGCATATTCTTATATCATTAATAACAAATTTTAGGCATTGGAAATAAACAATTAAAATGATAATATTGGAAAATGAGTTAAACAAAGTAAATGTTGATGTGGTTTTCTATTAGCTTTAACATTTACTGGTCCTAAAATGAAATGTCTTTGTACATAGAGTGGAATTACAACCCAGAACAATGTCTTTTAAGGTTGTATTTATACAACACAAAAAAACCCACAAGTCTATAAATTAACTGATTTTTTAAAAACTCAATATGGATAAACAAGTAGATAAGAACGCTGTAAAAATTAACTGGTTAAATGACAGTATTTATTCATTGTGCTCTTAAGACAGACCTCTTCATCTTTGCAAAAAAAAAAAATAACCCCTTAAGAGAAATTAAAATTGGTTTCTTTCCTTTAATCATATTGAAGTTTCAACTTCAATATTATAATAGCATTCAAATAAACATAATGCTTCTTTAGCCATACATGTTCATTTTAAAGATGCAGAATGAAGCTGGGCACGATGGCTCATGTGTGTAATCCCAGCACTTTGGGAGGCTGAGGCAGCCAGATCACCTAAGGTCAGGAGTTCAAGACCAGCCTGGCCAACATGGCAAAACCCCACCTCTACTAAAAATACAAAAATTAGCCGGGCATGGTTGTGGGCACCTGTAGTCTCAGCGACTTGGGAGGCTGAGGCAGGAGAATCGCTTGAACCCGGGAAGTGAAAGCTGCAGTGAGCTGAGATAGCACCACTGCACTCCAGCCTGGGCGACAGAGCAAGACTCCGTCCAAAAATTTAAAAAAAGATACAGTATGAGGCTTCTATATCACCATAACTTGGGTTTAAAACCTTTTTCTTCATTTTATCCTGAAGGTGACAAAATCTCCCCAAGAGAGGGTAGCATGTCCATTAAGGTAGTCTGAACCAAAAGGTGATTGTGTAGGTTATTATAAACTGACTTTAGTTTTATTCAATTATTACCCTTAAAATGCAACATACAAATAAATCACTTTGTTTTCACGAAATAATATAAAATTTCAGGTAATTCTTACATACACTAGTGAATAATTTCAGCTTTCTTTCTTGGCAATAAGGACAAACAATTGATTTTAGGGGCCAAAAAGTAGTTGTTAAACCAATACAAATCATACTTTCATTTGCAGTGAAGGCAAAAGGCTTTGACGCTCCCACTAATTAAAAATATGTAAAATATGAGAAGAAATTACCAAACCAATTGATTTATATCTAGTATTTTATATATATATTTATATAAAATAGGTAAGGATGAAAGCATATAAAGTCCCCTTAATGTATAGACAAGTACAATTCTTGATAACGGTCTATTTATGAATTTTATGGTTTTCACGAATTTATATTGTCAACCTAAATAGAAAACACAGAAGGAGATTCTGCAAAAGGAAATTATGTTTATTCAGAAATAGGTATTGCAGTGAGAACATATGTGCCATAGTTAACTATGCGAGTATTCAGGAAAGTAAAGGAAGACAGAGGTTTCTAAAGGAAAAATGCGGATTGTGTCACTGTTTTTAGATAATTATTCTGGCTACAAGGATCAGTAACAACAAGGGTGGTGCCAGTCCAAGGGTGGACAGGCAGTTGCTGGGCAGATGTTCTGACAGAGGTGTAAGATTGTAAGATTGTGATGGCCTTTGTGCAAGATTGTGGTTTTTGTGGACACTTTTGTGATACTTCCTTTGGGACATTTATGCACGAGAATTCTCCCTTCATGGCTTTCCTTACCTCTATTTGTCAGAGATTTTTAACACAAGTGACTGCATTTTGACTGACAATTTTCACAATGTTTATGTCATAACTAAAAATTACAATAACTGGCTCCAAAATTAGCTGTTTCACACAAAGGTCTTAACTGATAAATAGGACAATCATAAGGAATATTTTAAAAGGTGATTGTTTATTAACCTCTGTTAAAAATAGGTCCAAGAATTTTGCACTCAGAACCAAGGATGGAGAGAAAGAAGTCCAGATTTATTCAGCAGAAAGCTCATATTCCTAAACGAGGATGAAGAGGCTAGGATTACACAGGGTAGAAGCTCACATCCATACCGAAAGATAAAGGAGGCCTACGTTACACAGCTTGACACTTATACATCCATATCCAAGGAGGAAGGAAACCAGGGTTCATACAACCAGGAAAGTCATATCCATCTCCATATAGATAAGAATTCCAGGGTTTTTACATATCCAGGATATGCATATCTACCCACCTCAGAAACAAAGAAATTAGCCACTAATTCATTACTAGTGGGAACATAAAATGGTACAGCCGCTCTGGCGAACAGTCTGGGCATTTCCTAAAGCCCTAAATAAATACATAACTATTATACCACCCAGCAGTTGCAGTTCTGGGTTTATCCTGGAGAAATGAAAACCTAGGTTTGTAGAAAAACCTGCCCAGGAATGCTCGTAACAATGCGATGTGTAATAGCCTGAGTGGAAACCCTCCAGTCCTTTCAACGGGTAACTGGTTAAACTGACTATGGTACATCCATCCATACCATTGAATAGTACTCAGCAATAAAAAGGGAACAAAGTATTGATACCTTGGTACCACTGGAAACTCACTTCCTAGTACAGAAAACAGGTGGTCAGGGTTTACAAAGTAAACACACTGAACGAATTTGCAGAGAACAATGCTTCAGGGGAAAAAAAGCCAGTCCCCCAAGCTTACATATTATGTCATTCCATTTAAATAGAATTCTTGAAATGGCAAAATTCTGTAAGTGTAGAACAGCTTAGTGGTTGCCAGGCATCAGGGCAATGGAGGGGGAGGAAGGTGGTTGGCACTGGAAGGACAATGGGAGGCATCCTTTTGCAGAGGAAAGAGTCTGTATGTTGAGTGCGCCGAGGTACTACAACTTAAGACGCCACCGGTGGGGGAAATGGGTAAAGCGTACACGGTGATCTCTGTATTATTTGTTATAAGTGCATGTGAATCCTCCATGAGCTGGTAAGAAATATTTTAACTAAAATAGAGTTGAGCAGTCCAGTACAGGTTGCCCTGAGTATTCTGCCAACAGACTGACCTACCAGGTCAGTCCCCAGGACGGGCTCTACCCCTAGGAATGGCATCCCTCCTCCAGAGGAGGCATTTCCCAAATGCCCCAGGATAGGAGTTGGCACGGAAGGAGAGCCAAGCCGGCGATGAAGACACTCTCCACCGGACACAGGAACGCTGAGAGGCAACACTAAGAAGCGGCCTCCACACTGGACGGCGGCCTCCACTGGCGAGCCGCTGCTGGTAAAACAAAGAGAAGGCCGTGGGCAGGCGGCACTGAGAGCAAACTAAGCGCAGTCCGCGGCGGCGCTACTTGAAAGTCAGCACAGATCCACCCAAATGGAGCGCTCGCCGCCCCACGGCTAGCGGGGCGCTCCCGCGGGGGTTCCGCGCCTCCCCTCCGCCAGGTGGAGCCAGTACTCGCAAGGGAGCCTCCGTGGTTCAGAGGTCACACCCCGGCTGAAGTAAACTGCGCTCAGGCGGCCTTCAGGGGCGCGACCCCAGCGTCTTTCCTCGGCCCACGCCCGGGCGCTGAGCAGAGACGACCTTAGCGGTCCTGCACCTAGCGGTCCTGCACCTAGCGGTCCTGCACCTAGCGGTCCTGCACCTAGCGGTCCTGCAGGTCCCTGAATCCTCTTGGGATCTGCGCTGAAGAAAGGCGGGAGCTCAGCCGCGCGCCCTGCCTCCGCCGCCATGGCCCAGCTGCGAGCCTGCGAAGTCCGGCAGCTGCTGCACAACAAGTTCGTGGTGGTCATGGGGGACTCGGTCCAGCTGGCCGTGTACAAGGACCTGGTACTCCTGCTGCAGAAGGACTGCCTGCTGTCCTCCAGTCAGCTGAAGGCCAAGGGCGAGCTGAGCTTCGAGCGCGACATGCTGCTGGTGGGCTGCAGCAGCGGCCGCATGCACTACGGCCGCCACTACCGCGAGGTGCGCCAGTTCCGCTCGGGCCACCACCTGGTGCGCTTCTACTTCCTCACGCGCGTGTACTCGCACTACGCGGAGCGCGTCGTGGAGGAGCTGCGTAGGTCCGAGCCCGCCCCGGACGTGGTGGTCATGAACTCCTGCCTCTGGGACCTGGCCAGGGATGGCCGGGGCTTCCCCAGGAGCTACCGGCGTGACGTGGAGAGCCTGTTTGCGCGGCTGGACTGGGCGCTGCCCACGTCCTGCCTCTTGCTGTGGAACACGGCCATGCCTGTGGCTGACACCATCTCGGGAAGCTGCCTCCCTTGCGCGCGCCATCTCCGCCGCGCCCACCTGCGCGAAGACGTGATGGAGGCCAACTTCTACAGCTCCGCCGAGGCGGAGAGGCGCGGCTTCGACGTGCTGGACCTGCATTTCCACTTCCGCCACGCCGCGCGGCACCGCCTCCCCGACGGCGTGCACTGGGACGAGCGCGCGCACCGCCACCTTTCCCAGCTGCTGCTGGCCCACCTGGCAGACGCTTGGGGCGTGGACCTGCCCCGCCGCGAAGCCGTGGACGGGTGGGTCAGGCATGGCCACGCCAACAGACGTGCAGCCCCGGCGGGCCGAAGGCGGCCCCGAGACGACCCAGCGGACCCACACGGCCGAGGGGACCGAGCGGGCAGAGGAGACTTCCGCTCCCCCCGACCGCCCACTTCGTTCTTTCCCTGGGCTCGACCGCCTTTCCCTCCCCGCCGCCAGGTCGCGTATCTGCCCTCCGACCGGCATTTCTCCAGCGACTCCTCCACGCGCCACATCCGACATAGAAGCGAAGAAAACGCCAGGGTTGGCCGCGGGTCGCGGCCGGGCCCCATCCGCACAAGCTCTGCCCTACACCGAGAGAGGGGGCATTCTCCTTACCGTCCGTGGCGCCCCAGCGAGCCACGCCTAAGCCAGCGAAGCCGCACACGCACACACAGAGGGGTCCCGAGAACACCCAGGCTTCAGTAGCCAGACCTGGGAGAACGTCCTGTCTTCCCCAGCATGGTCAGTGGGCTGCCTGACCACTATCACACGGGCCTGGCCTTGAGCAACTCTTCCAAGGTGGGGGGTATTTTTTTACGCTTCCTACTCTAATCAGTGAACCACTTGCCACATCACTCCTCTTTGCCAGAGCTTCCATGCCACTTCTTGGGAAGGGAGCAGGGACCCAGACCACCAGGCCGTTCTCCTCTAAGCATTTAGAGAGAAATGAAGTCTACATGAAAGTGCTCCTCGCCTTAAAAAACAAAAAAAGAAAAAGAAAAGAAAAAAAAAAAGAAAGTTAAGCCATACCCGAATGTAAGTCTTCAGGCAGTATTTCCCATTGACATTCTTCCAAAAAAAAAGGTAAAAATTTTGATGCTTAGAACTTAAACATTTCAATTAAGATTTCCATTTCACCGTTCGTTTTTGCGTATATTCATAGAACCGAGTATCTAAAGCTTTCACCTAAGTTGTCTTACAGATTCTTTACATTTCTCTGTGCTTCAACATAGCATTTGCCCTAAAAAAAAATTCCATTCACTAATGCAAGGTTGTTTATTTTCTGTTAGAAACATGATCTTTAAAGTTCATCGAATGCCTAGCAAATTTTTTAAAATAGACTTTTTACTTTTTTTTTTTAGATAGGGTCTCACTGTGTTGCCCAGGCTAGAGTGCACTGGCTCAAGCGATCCTCTTGCCTCAAGCCTCTCAAGTAACTGGGACCACAGGCATGCACTACCATGCCTGTCGAACTTTTAAAATTTTTTGTAGAGATGGGGACTTGCCATATTGCCCAGGCTGTTCTCAAAGTCCTGGACTCAAGCAATCCTCCTGCCTAGGCCTCCCACAGTGTCGGGATTACAGGTGTGAGCCAGGGCACTTGACCTAGAATTTAATTTTTAGAGCGATTGTAGGTTCACAGCAAAATTGAGTGGACAGTACAGAGAGTTTCCATATACTTTTTTGATTTCACACAGGCAAAGCCTCCCCCACTATCAGCATCCCACGTGTTTGGTACATTTGTTGTCTTTGATGAAGCTACGTTAACACATCGTTATCACCCCAACACCATAGTTCATTAGAGTTCCTTCTTAATGTTCTCCATTCTATGGGTTTTGACAAATGTATAATGGCATGTATCATCCATCATTATAGTATCATACAGAATAGTTTCACTGTCTTGAAAATCTTCTCTGCTTTGTCTCTGCATCCTTCCTGCTCACCAACCCCTGGAAACCATGGATTTATAACTGTCTCCATAGTTTTGTTTTTTGCAAAATGATATATAGGTAGACATACAATATGTAGCCTTTTCAAACTGGGCTCTTTTGATTAGGAATTTAAGTTCCCAGCCTGTCTTTCCATGGCTTGAGAACTCATTTATGTTTAATTTTTAATTTTTGTGAGTATATATTTATGGGGTACATGAGATGTTTTTATACAGGCACGCAATGTGGAATAATCACATCATGGAGAATGGGGTATCTATCCCTTTATGCATTCATGCTTTGCGTTACAAACAACCCAGTTACACTCTTGGTTATTGTAAAGTGTACAATTAAGTTATTATTGACTATAGTCACCCTGCTGTGCTATCAAATAGTAGGTATTATTCATTCTTTCTGTTTTTTGTATCCAATAACTCATTTTTTTTAGGGCTGAATAATATTCCATTGTCTGGATGTACCACTGTTTATTCACCTAGTGAAGGACATTATGGTTTTTTCCAAGTTTTGGCAATTATGAATAAAACTGTTATGAACATCTGTGTGCAGGTTTTTTGTAAATAAAATATAATTTGAATAATTATCAAGGACTATAACTGCTGGATCATGTGGTAAGAGTATGTTTAGTTTTGTAAGAAACTGCCAGACTGTCTTTCAATGTGGCTATACCATATTGCATTCCCATCCACATCCTTGGAATCATTTGCTGTTATCAGTGTTTTGGAGTTTTTCTGAAAAGTATAAGGTGGTGCCAGATTTATGTATTTATTTTTGCATGCAGATGTCCAGTTGCTTCAGCACAATTTGTTGAAAAGACTGTCTTTTCTCCATCATATTGCCTTTGCTCCTTTGCCAAATATCAGTTGACTGTATTTGTGGGTATCTATTTCTGGGTTCACTATTCTGTTCTATTGACCTGTGTATTCTTTTGCCAATACTACACTATCTTGACTACTGGAAGTTTATAGTAAGGCTTGAAGTCAAGTAGTGTCAGTACTCTGACTTAGTTTTCCTTCAATATTGTGTTGGCTACTCTGAGTCTTTTGCTTCCCCATGTAAATGTTAGAATCACTCTGTCAATGTCCACAAATAGTTTGCTGCAATTTCCCTTGAAATTACATTGAATCTATAGATGAAGTTAGGAAGAACTAACATATTGACGATATTGTCTTTGAGATATTTCTCGAGATTTCTTCTTTGATCCAAGTGTTATTTACAAGTGGGTTGTTTAATCTTCCAGTACTTGGGGATCTTCAAGCTACCTTTCTGTTACTGGTATCTAGCTTAATTTCACTGGGGGATTTGAGAGCAAACATTGTATGATTTTTATTTTTAAATTTGTTGAGGTGCATTTTATGGCCAAGAATGTGGTCTGTCTTGGTGAATGTTCCATGTGAGCTTGAGAAGAATGTGTCGTCTGCTGTTGTTGGATGAAGTATTTTATAGATGTCATTTATATGCAGTTGATTGATAGTGCTGTTGAGTTCAACTATGTCTTTACTGATTTTCTGCCTGCTGAATCTGTCCATTACTGATGGGTGTTGAAGTTTCCAACTAAAATAGTGTATTCATCTATTTCTCCTCGGAGTTTTATAAGTTTGTGGCTCGTGTATTTTCATGCTCTGTTGTTCGGTGCATACACTTTAAGGATTGTTACGTCTTGGAGAATTGAGTCCTTTTATCATTATGTAAAGTCCGTCTTTATCTGTGATAACATTCCTTGCTTTGAAGTCTGCTCTCTCTGAAATTAATGTAGCTACTGAGTTTTCTTTTGATTCGAGTTATTATATCTTTCTCCATCCCTTTATGTTTAATCTTGATGTGTATTTATATTTAAAGTGCATTTCTTGTAGAAAATATATAGTTGGGTCTTTTGATCCATTCTGACAATCTCCTTTCATTGGTGTTCACGACAATTGATGTTTAATTATTGATATTGTTGGATTAATATCTTCCTTATTTGTTACTGCATTCTATTCATTGTTTTTTGTTCTTCCACTCTTTTTTTGCCTTTTGTGGTTTAATTTAGCATTTTGTATGTGATCCTTTTTTTTTGCTCTTTAGCATATCAACTACAGTATACTTACTTATTTATTTACTTTTTTTAGTAGTTGCTCTGGCATTTTCAATATACATTTGCATCTAATCCAAATCTACTTTTGAGTAACACTCTACTACCTCATGGATAGTGCAAGGTTATCCGTAAGTTACAAACACTAAATACATTATTGCCATTACCAATAATATTATTATTATTATTATTTATTTTTATTTTTATTTTTTGAGACGGAGCCTCGCTCTGTAGCCCAGGCTGGAGTGCAGTGGCATGATCTCGGCTCACTGCAACCTCCGCCTCCTGGGTTCAAGCGATTCTCCTGCCTCAGCCTCCCGAGTAGCTGGGACTATAGGCGCCTGCCACCATGCCCAGCTAATTTTTTGTATTTTTAGTAGAGATAGGGTTTCACTGTGTTAGCCAGGATGGTCTCGATCTCCTGACCTTGTGATCCGCCCACCTTGGCCTCCCAAAGTACTGGGGATACAGGCGTGAGCCACCGTGTCCAGCCTGCTATTATTAACAAACTGTTGTATATTCAACCAATTAAGAATAGAAGAATAAGTTTTTGTTTTACCTTCACGTATTCCTTCTCTGATGCTCTTTATGTAAAGCAAAATTTCTGACCTATATTATTATCCCTCTCTGAAAAACTTCTTTTTTTTTTTTGAAATGGAGTCTCGCTCTGTCGCCCAGGCTGGAGTGCAGTGGCAGGACCTCAGCTCACTGCAAGCTCCGCCTCCCGGGTTTACACCATTCTCCTGCCTCAGCCTCCCGAGGAGCTGGGACTACAGGCGCCCGCCACCTCGCCCGGCTAGTTTTTTGTATTTTTTACTAGACACGGGGTTTCACCATGTTAGCCAGGATGGTTTCGGTCTCCTGAACTCATGATCCGCCCGTCTCGGCCTCCCAAAGTGCTGGGATTACAGGCCTGAGCCACCGCACCCGGCCCCTGAAAAACTTCTTTTAACATTTTTTGCAAGGCAGGTTTACTGGCAACAAATTTTCTCTATTTTTGTTTGTTTGGGAAAGTCTTAACAGGCATACTTCAGAGATATTGTGGGTTTGGTTCCAGACCACCACAATAAAGCGAATGTCTCAAAGCAAGTCATGAAAGTTTTGGTTTCTCAGTGCGTGCAAAAGTTAGGTTTATACCCTACTATAGTCCATTAAGTGTGCAATAGAAGTAAGTCTAAAGAACCCAATGGACATAACTTAATTTAAAAGTTTTTATTGCCAAAAAAATGCTAGCTAGCATCTGAGCCTTTAGCAAGTTGTAATCTTTTTGTTAGTGGAAGGTCCTGCCTCCATATTGATGGCTACTGACTGATCAGGGTAGTAGTTGCTAAAGGTTGAGGTGGCTGTGTCAATTTCTTAAAATACAACATTGAAGTTTGCTGTATCAATTGACTCTTTGTTTCACAAAATATTTATCCGTAGCATGCAATGCTGTTTGACAGCATTTTACTCACAGTAGAGCTTCTTTCAAAATTTAATCAATACTCTTATACCCTGCTACTGCTTTGTAAACTAAGTTTATGTAATATTTTAGATATTTTATTGTCATTTCAACAACGTTCAGAGCATCTTCACGAGGAGAAGTTTCCATCTCAGGAAACTATTTTCTGTGTTCATTTATAAAAATCAACTCCTCATTTGTTCAAGTTTTATCATGAGATTAGAGCAATGGAGTCACATCTTTAGGCTCCACTTCTAATTCTAGTTCCCTTGCTATTTCTACCACTTCTGCAGTTGCTTCCTCCACTAAAGTTTTAAACCCTTCAGTCTTCGATGAGGGTTAGAATCAACTTCTTCCAGACCCCTGTTGATGTTGATATTTTGACATCTTCCCATGAATAAAGAATATTCTTAATGGCATCTAAAGTGGTGAATTCTTTCCAGAACATTTTCAATTTATTTTGCCCAGATCCATCAGAGGAATCACTATGTATGGCAACTCTAGCTTTGTCTTTCTTAAATAATAATTAAAAGTTGAAATTGTTTCTTGATCCATGAGCTGCAGAATGGATGTTATGTTAGTAGTCATGAAAACAACATTATTCTGTTTATATATCTCCATTGTAGCTTTTGGATGATCAGGTGCATTGTCAATGAGCAGTAATATTTTGATAGGAATCTTTTTTCTGAGCAATAGGTCTCATCAGTGGGCTTAAAATATATATTAAGAAAACCATGCTGTAAAGAGATGTGCTGTCATCAAAGTTTTGTTGTTCCATTTACAGAACACAGCCAGAGTAAATTTAGCATGATTCTTAAGGGCTCTAGGATTTTCAGAATGGTAATCATTGGCTTTAACTTCAAGCCACCAACATTAGTCCCTAACAAGAGATTTTCCCTGTCCTTTGTCGCCTTGAAGCCAGACATTGACTTTAGCTATGAAAATCATAAATGGCATCTTCCAGTATAAGGCTCTTCCCTCTACAATAGAAATCTGTTGTTTAATATGTCCACCTTCATCATTGTCTTTGCTAGATCCACTAGCTTTCTACTTTTATTCTGCAGCTTCCTCACCTCTCTTGGCCCTCAAAAAAATTGATTAGAATTACAGGCTTGCTCTGGATTGGGCTTTGGCTTAATGGAATGTTGTAGCTGGTTTGATCTTCTATCCAGACCACTAAGACTTTCTCCATATTTGCAGTAAGACTGTTTTGCTTTCTTATCATTCATGTGTTCCCTGGAGTAGCAGTTTTTATTTTCTTCAAGAACTTTTACACTCACAAATTGGCTAAACTGTTTAACACAAAAGGCCTACCTTCCAACTTACCTCACATTTTGACTTGCCTTCCTTACTAAGTTTAATCATTTCTAGCTTTTGATTCTAAGTGAGAGACCTGCAACTCCTCCTTCTACTTGAACACTTAGAGGCTATCGTAGGGTTATTAATTGACCTAATTTAAATATTGTGCTTCAGAGAAAATGGAGGCCTGAGAATGAGGCAGAGGGATGGGAGCATGGCAAGTCAGTGGAGCAGGCAGAGCACACACGACATTTATCAGTTAAACGTGCTCTCTTATATGAGTGCAGTTCATGGCATTCCAAAACAATTGCAGTAGTAAAATCAAAGATTGCTGATCATAAATAACCATAACAGATATAATAATAATGATAAAAGGAATTATTGTGAGAATTACCAAAATATCACACAGAGACACAGAGTGAGCACATGTTGGGAAAATACCATGGATAGACGTTCAGTGCAGGATTGCCACAAACCTTCAATTTGCAAGAATCATAGTATCTGCAAATTGCTATAAAGTGAAGCATGATACAATCAACTATGTACTTCTTCACTTTGAAGAATAACGTACAAGATACAAAATTCTAGGTTGGTGTTTTTTTGTTTTTGTTTTTGTTTTTCTTTTTTTCTCAATATTTTAATTATATCACTCCACTCTCTGCTTTTTAGTTGTGGAAGTTTCTGTGGACATATCCTCAAGCTCATTAATTCTTTCCTCAGATATGTC